GACGGACGCCAGGTTGTTTCTGTGGGACAGGAGCCCGGAGTGAGCCGAGGATCCCACTCTTCTGTTCAGGCGCCACCTAAGAGAGGCCCGGAGGAAGGACCCTCCTCCATGCCGCGGAACCCACGCTGGAATGTGCCGTGTCGAGCAGCGTCGCGGGGACGGGCGGAGGGGGACGGGGCGGCGGAAGGGTCAAACTGCTGCAGTGAGCGAGCGCTTCCACAGCAGGGAGGTCCCCGCTGCACCGCCGGGACCACAAGTCCCGGCATGCCATGCGCGCGGCAGGGCCCCTCGCGGCCGCCGTAGGGAAGTGGGGGGTCGTGGGGAATAGAAGGGATGGATGGATGGAAATCAGCGCTTCCGCGGTGTCGTTCCTCCCTGCGGGCGGGCCTGTGGGTGGCGGCCTGTCCTGAGGTGGATGGGGCCGCCGGGGCAGTGCTGGTTGTGCCAGGGCTCGGTGCAGAGGGTGGACCTCCTCAAGGCGGTGCTCTGGCAGCTGTTTTAAAACTCATTTTTGCCTTTGGGGGCAGGGGAGGAGTGTGACGCCGTTCACTTGTTTCGGTTGCTCACTTGCCGTGGGTAAAGAGGCATCATTAATAATGGAATATTAATTTAGGGGATAATTTGGCTTGCTCTGTCCAGTTCTCTTCAGGCAGCACTGCTGCGTTGCCTGGTACGCAGCAGCTGTGCCGAAAGCGCATCCGTACTGAAAAGGGAGCATGGATCAGAGAGCAGAGTATGTTGTAATGGCAAGGACATGCCAGCGAAAGCCAGATAACAGCCACAGTCTGTGCCCAGCAGCGAGCTGATGCTTCAGCAGAGGAGTCCTGGCTGCCTGTACTTCCTGAAATTGCCCTTGTCAGGCATTAAGAAGAAAATAAGGAGGGAATCTTGGAGCCTCAAGATAGGTAGGAGGGCAAAGAAACACTGCCTCGAAGGGCTAAAGAAGAAATTCTTCTCTAACAGACAGCTCAATCACTGGTTCTGCTATTAAAGACAGGTCAATCTGCACATTTAGGGGAAAATTACCTCCTGAACAGAAAAAATGTAACATGAAAGGAATAATGCAAGCATTCCGCTTTCTTTGTGCACTTGCTTCTAGTGGTATAGTGATTTCTAAAGGGTGGCTGTAAGCTGTTTTGTTTGTTAGAAAACCAAACAGATTAAGGCTCCTGGCAAGCTGCTGGGCTAAACTTGACTGTAAGGATTTCTTGCTTTTCCCTTGGTCCATTCAGTCTGGATTTATTCAAAGCATCTCAGGTGTTCCACCTGGGAGCCTTGCCTGCATGGGTAGTCTGAGTTAAGGGTCTGAGGGTTTGAGTTTTTCCCTCCCAAATTCAACACTGCAGCAGAAGGCTTGTGACATTTTATTTAATGTAATGGTTGCGTTCAGCTTGCTTGCACAGCTGGAAGTGTACAAAGCAGGGCAGTATGTCCACAGTCTGCCCCTGCTCCTCCATTGCTGCTGCTTCTGGTCACCGCATCTCTTTGATTCGGTTGTGGCAATACTGGAGGGTAGGGACAAGACAGAAGGCATCCTCTCCAGTCTGTGTCACTCAGTTCCACAACTGCCTTATTTTCCTTTCTATGCTGTGGGAATCAGTGATTTCTTGAAAACCATACGGATCCTGTGGTTGGAGAGACGAATAGTTGGAGGTGTGATGCTACACTGGAGCAGGCAGCTACGCTTACCCCTAAGGACAGGGAAGAGAGCTTTGCTTTGTTTTTCTGTGTCTTGTCAGTTGTGATTTATCTTTTTTCCCCCTAGCTACATAAGAATTTTCACTACCCACAATTCTGAGGCACGGGAGGTGAGAATGGCAACTGCGCAGCATCCTGCCCCCTGTAGAAGAAATTCACTTGGGTAATGCATGGTTAGTTTTTGTTTTGCATACAAGATCTTCTCAAACAAACTAATCTTGTCCCAGGAAATTTGCTGTTGTGCAGTAAGACCCATGGCTTTGCAGAACAGTTGCTTCTGGGAGTAGCAGCAACTCAGGCTGTCAGCTTGCACCAGGGTGGTAACTGGCGTAGCTGATTTACATGGAATACCCAAGGCTCTGCAGAAGACTTGTCAAGCTGCAGAACTGAGCTCAGCTCTCCTCATGTTTGTTCTCTCCTTGGCTCCTTCCCTCCCCACCCTCACTCACAGGGAGCTGTAACTCTGGGATTCCACATGGTCCTCAGGCAGCTTCACTGCAGCATCCTGGCTGGAGCCGCACATAACTCCCTACAATGCACCAGCACTGAAAAAGCAATGTAATGCTAATTTCCTCTATGGTAAGAACAAAACCAGCCCAGGCTGCTGCTGTCCTCTCCATTGGACTCCTGTAAACCCCTTCCAGCCCCTTAGTTCTGGAGGGATGTGGATGTGTATGGTGGATCTTGGTCAGGTGCTCTCAGCCTGTGACATACAAGTTAAGGAAGTTGGCAGCCTTTGTGTGGCCTGCAGCTGTGCAGAGGCCAGAAATACTTACTCTGAGAGGTGTGAGGTGCTCCATTGCTCTGATACCAGTTGTCATTTAACAAAGACAATTGGTTTTCTATGTATTTGCCTTTTGATTGATTGGTTTTGGTGTCTGGGATGATGTGAGCTCTGACTGAAGACAAAGGACTTCCTTCTGAACAGATGCTGCTGTTTTGAAATAGATGAATCTTGTCAAGACATAACAATAAACTGCTGATGCTGATGTTTTGAAATAGATAAACCTTGTATACAGACTCAACGCACCGCTTATGCTAGCTGTTTTAATGCCAAAATGGATACTGACTGGTGACCCATGCATGATCTTGTGCAATTGTCTGCAAGGAAACCCTACCAGCCATGCCCTGTGCTCTGGTCAAGCCCTGGTCTTGGTTGGTCAGGGTGTGTACCACCAGATGTTTCTACACAAAAGAATATGCAAGTCACTCTGACTTCCTGATTTGGGTCTTTAAAAAGCTGGACCTTCTTGCAGCAACTTTGGAGACCTCATCTACAAGTGGACACACTGCGTAGAACTTCCCAATTGCTGGGATAGGTTCCTCAAATCCTCACTGCAACAGGGGCTCCTCAGCAGCTGCTGATCTGGGTGGTGGTAACATATTTAGGCAGTTGGTGATGTATCTTAATCACTGTTCTCTTTCTCATGTAGTAACGATTAGGTGCATTACCTTGCTTATCTTGTTTGTTGCTTAAACCTGGAGCATAGTAAGCTGATTATTTTACTAAACGTATCATTTTATTTCTGCATTACCTTAATAGTAAAATAAGACCATTTTTTTTCCCTTGGTGACTGTGTCCTTTCTGGTGCCCCCATCAATTAGTAAAACAGAAAGAGGCAGGAAAATGTAAGTGTGCAGCTGCTCCATGACCTTCACATTTGGCCCTGCTGTGGTGCCTGGCCAATGCTCTTGGCGCAGACAACAGTGAGATCATGAGAACCTGCACCACTCCACGAGTGAACAATGAGAGATCTGGCATAAAGCCGGCTGTGTTTCTAGGAATATAAAAGCAGGAGCTTCTTCTAGCCGAGTCTGAAGCCTCACCTGCGGGTGGATGCACCGTGTAGGAACTTTCACATTTACCTGAGACTCCGGCATCAGCTGTAACAGGGCTTCCCATCTTGAAGTGTGGGCCTGGATGATGCAGATTGGGTAGTATTTGGTGATGTATTTCTTCTTAATCACTATTCTCTCTATGCTTTAATGATTTGATGCATTGCTGATTTTCCTCTGTGCTGTACATATATATATGTTATTCTCTTTATTGTGCTTGTTTAGCATATATAGAGAGAGACATAAACCTGATTCATGTTAGTGTGCTTAGTTGCTTTAGTGTGCTTGTTTGCTTTAGTGCGCTTGTTTAATAAACTGTGCATGTTATAAGATTAGTGTGTAATCATTTTGTTGAGTCCCCTGCCTATTTGCTAAACAAGTTTGGGGTAGTTAGCAGGATACGAAACAAAATGTCATTTTTAAAGATAGAAAAGTGTTGCTGAGACAAGTGCAGAACTGGATATTCCGGGCTGGGAACAATTACCTTATAGCATTTTGGCTGCTGAGTGGTCGTGTCATGATTTATGTGAGAACTGGGACCCCTGTTTGAAAGAGGCAGAACCCGCTGATGTAGTGAAATGTTCACAAAATGTCTCAGTAGTTCAAAAGGAAAGGAAGTGAATGCTCTAGGGAGACGAGAGTGGATTCTGCTGGCTGCGTATCGAAAGCAGCATCAGCAGAGGGAGCAAGTGTGTAAGGAAAAGATTGATTTGGAGACGCAAGTATGCAAAGTGCAGGGAGAAATAGTTACGTTGCGGTATTAATTGGATGCTTACCAAGCAGTAGCAGAAAAAGCGGTTGTTTGGATAGCCCAAAATAAACATCGAAAGCAAAGGGGTCAAGTAAACAACAAAAAAGTGCATGCAGTGATCGGGGAGGCAAGAATAAATTGGGACCTTGAGAAATGGGATGGGGATGTGTGGGATTCAGCCAATTTAGATAGCAGTTCAGAGGGTGCAGTGGTTGCTGAAGCAAAGCTGATAATACGAAGGAAACTAGGATGTGACCCTAATGGTCATCCAGATAGGTGGGACGTGATAAATTTCACTCAGCATGAAATTAATGACATTATGGATACATTCAGACAAAAGCCTGGAGAACCTCTGCTCCCTTGGGCTGTTAGGCTGCACAATTAGGGGCTTCGGGAATTAGACTGGATTCAGCAGATGGTAAAAACTTTGCAGTGTTAAGCTGTGACTCATTTGTTCAGGATGCCTTCCGAGGAGCCAATGGGGAAATTAATTTATTAGCAGTAGTAGTGGAAGGCTGTAACAAAATACACCCCATGGAAGGGGAATGGCCCGGTGCAGATAAACCCTGGTGTACTTTACAGGATTGCATTCAGCGTATTAAGGAGGAAGGAATGAAGACTGCTGTTTTTATTGGAGATGCAAACACCGTGCTGCAAAGTGCTTTATCAGCTCCAATTCGGAATAGGATCACTAAGACTTCACCACATGCATATAAAAGTATTATTATGATTTTATTGATAAAAGAAACAGGAAACCCCATAGGAGAAGTCATAAAAAAGATCCAGCTGTTAGAAGATTTGGGGGAATGGGGACCCAAACAAAATGCAAGAGGCAAGAACAGGAGTGGCAAAGTGAAAGAGAATTGAATCTCTCAAAAACAAATGTTTGTTGCCTTGTTGAAAGATGGGATGGACTGAGATAAAATTGACGGGATCCCTACTAATGAACTGTGCAGTTTATACAAGCAATGTGGGTTGAATAGACCTGTAAAAAGTGTAAAAAATTCAAGCTCAAACAAAAGTGATGACATGACGGATGAGGCAATTTGACCTTCCATTCCTGCCTTTGAACCTGAATGGGACAGTACACTTACCAATGGAGGGACCCCCATTGGCGAGTTGATGGTTCCAGGGGACAAAAAGGGATGGGATCAGCACAATGATCTCTACCTGCAGCCAGATGTTAAAATGTTAAAACAATTGAAAGAATTAAAACCAGAATGAAATGAAGGCTAAGCTCCAGCACAAGCATGGGTGAGGACAGACCATCATCCTCACATGGCGCTCCAAATTCATTGGAAAAATAGGTCTTGTCAATTGGTTAAGGCCCTTGTTAACACTGGAGCAGAGGCCTCTTTAATTTATGGTAACCATAAAAAATGTAAAGGGCAAAAGGTTTTGATTACAGGATGAGGTGGCAAATTAATTGAAGCAGTACAGAAAAAAATGAGATGAAACTTTGCAATCTGCCAAAACGAACTTACTCGGTGATGATTGTCCCTATCCCTGACTATATAATTGGAACTGACATTTTAAAAGGGTTGACATTATACTTACCTGATGGTAAGTATCAATTTGGAACCAGGACACATATATTGGCTTGTCAATTTTTAGTTGGGAAAGTTATATTATCTGGATTAATAGAACGGATGAATGACATGCTTAAGGAACAGTTAAAGAAATTGGGGGAGGCAAACTGAACATGTGGAGAGTCCATTTATCTGAAGTGCTACAGCTATAGAATAACAGACCCATTGGAGAAATGGAAACCCTTTCAATGAGGACGACTGCTCCTAATTTGCAAATAAAACCATTAACAGCAGCAGAGACCCTCACCTGGGAAATAAAGGAGGGAGGTTTAGCACCTTATCAAGCAACTCCGGATGCTGGAGGATTAGATTTGTATGCTTTACATATGCATAGATTGAATACCCAAGGCATCTGTGTCACTGATACTGGTATTGGAATACATATTGTCAGGTTACTTTGGTTTTATAGCCCCAAGGGCCAGTTTAGCAATCAAAGGTATTTAAATACTTGGGGACATCATTGATTCAGATTATCAAGGGGAGATTAAGGTGATTTTGTGGAATAGTGGAGGTCAAGATACCTTAATTCGCCATGAGACTGTATTGCCCAAATGTTGATTTTTGCCTGTGTTGAAAAAGCAAGTAAATAAGGGGGAAGCCCCACAGATAACCACAGCTCAAGGGAACCATGGATTTGAATCCACTAACCAATAGAAGAGTGGAGCTAAAGTTTGGGTTCAAACACTCAATGGCCCAACTGAGCCAGCTGAAATTCTTGCCACTGGAGAAAGACCACACAGTGATTAAATCCAAATGAGAAAAATGGGAATATGTCCCTGCAAATAAATGCTATTTGAGAGAATGATATTACTATGTTTTAGTTTTGTGTTTTACAGAAACTACAGATTGTAGCTGTCCTCATATGCTTTATGGTCCCCAGGAAGCTATTTGAATGGGGCTGACAACTCGCTTGTGCGCTCGAGATGGAAAAACAGCACCAGACCTCGCAGACAAGATAATTACACCTGTATGGGAATGAATCTTGCATCGTAGCTAATAAACATTTTTCCCAGGAGTAAATCTATGGACAACCAGTTTGTCAGGACAATGCTACAGACAGTTGTTTGTATAACATCAGACAGACCAAGATGTAGTAACGGTATCTAACGCTAGCACTGTCACTATCAAAATGTTGTAATCTTTCTAGTGTTTATATGATGACACTAAAAGACACTTATAATTATTGCACTGATAGTATTGAAAATGTATACAACTTCAGTAGTAGTGGGAATACAGCTCTGGCAACCCTCAGTGTGCTGTGTTGTATAAATGCTAATGAAATAACAAATGGATTAGTTTGGGCAGATTAAATTACAGTTTTGCATAATCATCCTGTTGTAAACACTGATCAAACTGTCAGGGTCCCTGCTACCTGCACCCCCGTGGCCCAACAATACCAGAAGAATAGAATGCATTTTAACATTAGTTTTCCAGCCCAACCATCTTGGCAAAGGGGGCGAGCCTGATGGGACACCGTACTGGGGGGAGTGGGAGATGGTACTTAATTTCTAAATAGTGTAAACATAGAATCAAAAATCAAAAATAACTGGGCAAGATGTACCACAAACGCTTAGTTTACACGCACAATGGATGCCCACTGTATTTACCTCACAGCACCTTACAGTATGACAGTGAGTTCCTGCGACTTTGTAATAGTTCACAAAATCGTAATCATCATGCCCAGAAAAACTTTAGTTCATTTATGAATTGGACCAAGTTCACATTACACACCGTATATAATGCAAAGGAATAAGGCACAGTATGACTTAATGAGTAATAATGAATTAACATGGAGATCATACTCACATCCTGGATTCCAGAAACTAACTGGATCATATTGAAATGAATTGGTGAATTTTGGGCATCAGATTGAACAACACACCACTCACCATTGGTGGGACAGATTTACAGGATTCTCACCATCTGCTATGAAAATTCCAAGTATTTTAATTCACCCACTAATCATAGTAACTGTTACACTTACTTTACTAACATTATGGAAGTGTCGTCTATGGTACAAATTACGAGAAATTGTGTCTCATGTGTCTCTGTCGTGATCAGGGACCAAAGGACTGAATGTAATGGATGGGAACCTGAGAGGTGATCCCTGCTCATGACTCAGAGACATGGCAAAGTATGTTTTTGACAGAGTGTATCCAATAAAGTATATATGTTTATGTTCATTGTCACTGTTTGTTGAAAAGAGGCAGGAAAACATAAGTGTGCAGCTGTTCCATGACCTTCACATTTGGCCACGCTGTGGTGTCTGGCCAACACTCTTGGTGCGGACATCAGTGAGGTCATGAGAACCTGCACAGCCCCACAAGTGAACAGTAAGAGATCTGGCATAAAGCCGGCTGTGTTTCTAAGAATATAAAAGCAGGAGCCTCTTGTAGCTGAATGTGAAGCCTCACCTGCGGGTGGATGCACCGTGTAGGAACTTTCACACTTACCTGAGACTCCGGCACTGGCTGCACCAGGGCTCCCCATCTTCAAGTGTGGGCCTGGATGATGCAGATTGGGTGGTATTTGGTGATGTATTTCTTCTTAATCACTGTTCTCTCTATGCTTTAATGATTTGATACATTGCTAATTTTCCTCTGTGCTATACATATATATGTGATTTGCTTAATTGTGCTTGTTTACTATATACACATAGACCTGATTTGTGTTAAGTGTGCTTATTTGCTTCAGTGTGCTTGCTTAAATAAACTGTGCATGTTATACAGCTACTGTGTGAATGGCTGAGTACCTTGCCTGTTTGCAAAACAGCATCCTGAAATCTGCACTGGTGGAACAGTATGAAACACACTCGACTGTTACAAGGTGCAGAGCAAAGTTAAAGTGCTGCTAATCACTTTTTCATCAAAATACATTTTTTTTACCAATTTCTCCAAGGATGCTGTAGCTTTTCCAGAGTGCCCAGATGCAGCAGAATCCAACCAGTACGTTGCAGATAAAAGCCCACTGGCTGTGACGTACAGCTGTATCTACCAACTATCTAGGAATGTCAGTTCTGGCTAAGGTCACACTCTGGTTAGATGAATAGCCTACTGGTGGTATTAACTAAAACCAGATCCCAGGGGAAGATCAAGAGCAGGACAAACACATATGATGCTTCCCCTAATATTCTTCCAGTCTCCAACTACTTTCAGCTTTCCCGACTTCCTTCAGTCCTTACTGCTGTGCCATCGTGTTCTGCCTGAGAGGGCACCAGGGCCAGTTACAGAAGGAATCCATATTCTGAATGCACTTATGTTTGTGGGTGCAAGGGAGTCTGAGTGTCAGCAAACTGAGTGAGGCAGCAGGCCTTGGGGGCTTGTATCACCAGGTGTCTGCAGCTGAAGAGTGTATCACCTGGGTCCAGCACTGCATAAGTGAGCATCTAAGGCCTATTACTGGAGGGACCCATGTTGTATGTACCTCTGTATGTTCCATGAAGGACCTTCATTCCAGAGAGGGGAACTGGGTGATGCTGTTGGTCCTGTTTCCCTTTGCAGAAGTGCTGTTTTCTGGTTTTGTATGTGTTTATCTTTGTGGCTGGCTATCTATATACACATACACAGGCTTGTGTGTGTGCATGCCTATTGCGATGCACACTCTGCCTTGCTGCTGCTGGACCTGGGGAGATGGAGCTGCCAGCAGCTTCACCACTGTCAGTCTGTGAAGTTTAGCAACTCCAACCAACACTTCCCTCCTACTGCAGGCAGGAAGTAATTTTTGCTAAAGAACAAGGTTAAAAAGCAGCCTTTGTGCAGCAGTTAATTTTTCAGTAGCTGTACTGTACCATATTCAAGGCCAGGTTGGACAGAGCCTTGGGTGACATGGTCTGATGTGGTCTAGGGCATCCCTCCCTATAGCACGGGGGTTGGAACCAGATGATCTTGAGGTCCTTTCCAACCCTAACCATTCTATGATATTCTTGAATACCTTCTCAACAGAAATGCATGCTTATTTTATTTTCTAGAGTAGCTGAATCTTTGCTGCTCTGCTGCTTCGGGATGAAAGTACAGGCAGTCTCCTCTAGACAGGGTGTTCAAATCCATCTCTGGATTACACCTCTGTTAGCCAAAAGGATGTCAGCGTTTTGGTAATTTAACAATCAGTCTCTGCAGTAGTAAATCAGGAAGAAGAAAGGGAAGTTGATTTATAACACAACAGCAAGCTGAGACGTGACAATTCAGTACTTAAGATTATACATATGGGTAAGACTTTCCAGGTACTGCTGCTAGGAAATGCGTTAGCATTGCATGGGGCTTGTGTGTGGAAAATAAATATTTCTAACGTGCTCTCCTTCACTGAGCAGCAGCAACAAACTAGTTGCATCACTTATAAAGCAGGATGAGCCTATCAATATGTTGTAAAGCAAACCCTTACACATTATTTCCTAGAATAATCAACAGCTTTGATAAACATATGCAAAAAGGCAGCCTGGCTGTTGTTTGTCTTTATTCTTTTACATGCTTGGTAGCTGATGCCAGGACATTTTTTATGCTGAAACCCAGCACCAAGTCCCTCAGGTGAAATAACAAGGGACTTCTGTGAACATACGACAAAAAAGTTTCATTAATAATTTAACATGGTAGCTGAGCTTAAAATAGCTGGAAGATTCCAGAGTAAGTGTAGAGAGAAGAGGTTTAAAAACCATTTTTCCCTACTTCAAGCAGCTCTTCCAAGAGATACAGAAAACAAGCTACTATAGAACCATAAAGGTCCTACAAATCAAGAACCTTCAGAATCTAGCACTCTCTTGCTATTAATACCCTGAAGGAGCCTGCACTTTTTTAATCCTCTTTAGAGAATAATTTTTAAACAAACAACACTCAGGATCCAGTATTATTTCATAAAAGTTTAATATTTGTTTTTAAAACTCTTTAATCAAGAGAAAGGAAGCATCCATACATACACAGTCACCCTGGATGCTGGCAAAAGAACTTACAGACATACCCATGAACAGGATGTTTAGGTATTATGAACCTATATGAGAAAAGGCCTCACTGATTAATCACATTAATAATAATGAAAAGAATGTTCCCTCATACCAAAGAGAAGAGGAGGCACCAATCATGCAAATCTGTACCCACCTTCTCACAACAGCATTCCAGGAGTCCAGCAGTTCCAGGTAACATTTTCTTAGCTCCTGTGGAAATTAACGAAAAGCCAGGAAAGAGAATAGGCTGGTTATGCAAACTTCATGCTCATCCTAAAATCCTGATTGCTAAGCATCTGGTGTATTTCACTGCTACATTCCCAAATCTGAGGCCCTTTTAACTGTTTTCCCCTCTGCATCAAAAACTTTCAATACTAAAAGCTTTTGATGTACTCTGGAAGAAATATGGCAAGCCTAATACGGAATGAAAACAGCTGCTGTAGAACATGCTGGCAATGTAGGTAGTGCACTAGGAGAAGAAACCTGTAAGAACTAGGATAACTAAAAGGTATGTATTTAATGCTTTGGTCTAGGATGCTAACCCTTATAAAGCAGAGAGTTTCATTTTACAAACCTGAAATGAATTTTCAATCTCTGAACCCTTCTTGTGTTCTGAAGCACAAATTCAACTCTCAGAAGAATAATTACAGGTCATTTAGTGTCTTGGATGAGTTCTGCAGACATTGTAGCCTGCTTAGGCTGTGCATACCTGTATCTTACTTCAAATGCTAAGTAGAAAGTGAATCACAAAGTACTGTAGCAAAGGCAGATACAGCTTTTTTTTCCCCCCACCCTGGCCAAAATGAATCCATTGCATGAATTCATTGCACTGAATACATGAAATAAAAGTGTGAATTATTTCTGTAATCCTATCTTGGATAGTATGGCTAAAGACACAAGCAAGATACGCTAGTTTTAAATCTCTCTCATACACCTGGTAAAGCAATATAATCTGTGAAACTAGGTGGCAGAGGACATGACTTTTGAACAGTACTTGACCATTTTAAATTTTAAATGCAGTTTCCAGTTCTTAGGAGAAAAAGCAGTGTCTGATATTCCTTTGCTGAAGGACTTTATTTCTTCCCCTGCTAATCAAGCATTTCTAAATACCCATCTTAGAGGTGCATAGTTACATGAGTCTTTCTCTCATCTAATTATTTGGGTTTTATCTTTAATGTATGGGTTTTTTTTTCTGACAAAGAGATGAACACAGCCTAATGTAAATACTGATGTGAGGATCATCCCTACCATTTCTTTATCAGGTAGCTGTTACAGGGCTTTTTGTATTTTTTTGCAGCTAACACTGCCCCTGAAGTGTTATTTTGTTTTTGCATTCATCTCAAGTTTGTAAGAAAATCAAACAGGGTGGTATTATCCCAATTATTATTTTCTATCAACAAAAGCAGTTTCTTGAAGAAAGGTTCTATTTTATTACGAATGGAAAACATTACCTTGTGTGTATACGCTCTCCTGTCTGTAAACTGAAGATTCTTCAGCCAGCCTACTGGAAAACGGAACACTTGTTTCCCTTGAAGGAGCTCTGATACAGGTTTTATTTCCTGCAGGCATTCAGCTGTTCTCCACCACCTGTGTGAGCAATTCTAATGGCTCTGCTCTCTGCACCTCCAGTTGCTGTACAGCTTCATGGGAATCATTACAGCAGCTTGCCTCCTTTTACCAGAGACTAGAACTGCTAACATGGTAATTAGCCTTCTCATTGCAAGCAACAAGACAGCCCAAGAAGAGGTGGAATCGCAAAACCAACCCCAGAAACTAATAATAAATATGGAGCATCAGGTTTCTGCTCTAAGGCAGTATATAGCAATATCCAGCTGCATTATTCTGCTCAAGTTGGTTACAACCAAGAATACATCCATACTGGCTGCAAATGGCTCAAGAAGGGATGGTCTAGCAGCTACAACTGCATCTCTAGCTCCTTCTTCATGCTAGATAGAGGCAGAGGAGTCAAGAAAAATCTATTTCATGTCTGCTTCATACTCTCACATTGGTGGCACGTAGGCTGCTTGCACTTAACTTTGCAGCAGACAAAAAAGGACTGAATGATTTTGCTCCCTTTACCTTTCCGTAATATGCTGAGAGAGTAATAAACCAACACAGTATTACATTAAGTGTCAAATAAAAACCATTCTCGTGATTTCTCCTGCCCTTTGCACTAAAATATAGTTTTATCATGCTTTGGGATGCACTAGTTTGGTGGATGGTTGTGGGCTTGCTTTCTTAGAGTCTTCTATCATCACTTACTTTCACTTGCTATTTCTGAAAGCTATTTGAGATTCACCAGGCTAAAAAAATAATCTCTCTTTGCCCATTTTTCCTACTGTTTCCACAAGCAAAATTTCAGATATTTGTGTGGCTTCCCTTAGCTAAGAATTAGGCATTTATTTGTACCGTTGGCAAGAATTAAGAAGGAGCAGAGACCTTATATCTCAATCTGCTCTTTGTACTTTTTACCACTGACATAAATGCATCTGGAAAAATATTAGTAACAGGATGCTGGTTGATAATTTCTTCCCTGCTCACACGCCATTTAAGTCTAAACCAAGCAAGAAAACAACCCCCCAAAAGCCTTTCTGCTGCTTAGTTAAAACACAGTCAAAACAAGATTCCAGCAAGCCAGAAGCAGAATTTACCTGCCCAAGAGACTACCCCAGGGAAAAAATGTACTGCATTTTGTCTAAAACATTACTTTTGTTTTCAAAGTTTTCTGCAAATTGCAAACCTCCGAAAGCTGCTTCTCCTTTCCAGATGCAGCCACAGAGGTTAAAAGAAACTGGAAGTATTAAAAAAACCACACCTGGACATACAATAGACTGACAGAATGCCGGCAGCTTATCCATGCCTCTTCTTCCACTGCCTCTTCATAGATTGATTTTGCAACAAACTTCGTCCAAGAGAAAGGCCTTTCTGCCAGCCTCCATAACAGCAAACTAAAGGCTGCAGCATCAAATGAAGGCTTAGAGTTGATCCACTGTCCTTTGAATGTTACAGGTATTTATGCCTGATTTGAGGTAGTGTCAAGAAAAGATTCAAACTGGGCTTATTTCCTACCAGCAGCTTTCTAAAAACCAGAAGAAAAAAAACCTCCTTTTGCGTTATGCAGCTTTTAGAGAACTAGGTTGGGAAGGAGAGGTTATGCTGTATTGCACCATTCAAACACACAAGTAAATCCCCTCCATTAACTCACCCCTCCTCCTCAGGATCTGGAGTCAAGAGTCCAAGGCCAGCCTAGAACTTAAGGCTTCCCAGTCAGTGCACTATGCTACAGCTCTGCCAGCACAGGGGACCAGTACAGTGGATAAATCATTTACTGCGTGCCTCTGGAAACCACAGTGAAGGAAAAAAAAAAAAAAGAAAAAAAAGAATACATAAATAAAAATATATGGCATTTCATGAAACCGCAAGACAAGTGTTACAGCCTGCCTCTGCTGCCTCTGCCATCTACACCACCTGCTTTGTTCTCATCCGTTCTAGCAGTTCAAGGAGCACCTTTCACTCCTATCTCATAAAAAGGCCAAATTAATCTTTCTTCTGGTGTGGAATAGAGCACCCTACTCCACTCGGGGACAGAAGAACAATTATTGGAATAAAGGGCATGAAGAGAAGAACTATTTAATTTGTACCACAGGAAGGTTCAGCTTCTGGAAAGCTCAAGACAAGAATCAGGTGACAATTCTCAGTTTCTCATTTGCAAAGCTCTTGCTTTCTCTTGATGCTAGTGGCTCTCTGTTTATGGCCAGCCAGGTTCAGCAGTGACCACCACTTCTACTGTTTGCAGAAGCAACAGTAGCAGAGCAGATAACAAGGATATTGGATTTATACCGACATCCTTTCCTCCAAAATAATCAAGAGTATGTCTCACACAGGTAGCACAGCATTGAATAAGACTGACCGAACAAGATGACTGTCCAAGTTATTCCATTTGCCGTTGCATGCACCTTCATGGAAACCAATCTGCAAAAGGAAACTAACCAGAAAGCACGTCTATATTCCAAAAGAGTACCATCTAAAATGCAGAACTGTGGAAAAATTCAGCGTTCCCTTTCATAACTCCCTTCCCTGCACTGACATCCCTATATACAAGGCAGGCAAGAAAATCAGTTCCCCTTTTCCTCTGTAGATTTACAAGGGATCAGGCACTTATCTGAAGAAACTAGACAGAAAATGAGGGAGGGAAATTTGGCTGCCAAATGTAAACAAATAAACTCAGATATCTAATTAAAAAAAAAAAAACACACACACACACAAAAAAAAACACCAACAAAAAAAAACAAAACAGAAAACTGAGATCCACTACAAAGGACTTTTTTATAAACCAGGATTTAAGCAATCTCTACTCATTACCCAACTTCATTTTGAAAGTATCAAAGCATGTCAAACCATGCTTTCTTTAGTTTCAAAAAGCAAATGGTTCTTTGAAGAATGTAGGGCAATGATACCAACAAAGACATCTTATTTTCAATGCAGTAACTGCTTAGCATCACAAAAATGGCTCAAAAAGCCTTTCTCAAAACCTTCTTCCCTTCTTAATTACCTGGTTTTGATGACTTGACCATTTATACTGTATTTCCAAATTCAGCTTAAACAGATCTTACATTTCCAGTATGAAAACCACCATGATGACTCTGAAAAGATGTTTCATGTGAAGCTTCTTCACACAGTCACAGAATAGGAAGAAAAACTGGTGATTTTTGCCCCTCTGGAGGTCCATGTGCTGGTAGTAATTACGGAAGTATGAACTCTTTGGGTTCCCCCCCCAATGCCCTGCCTTGAGCTTTACATAGGGCTCAGGACTTCAAACAAATTTCCACTGATGATGTTGACAGTAGTTCTTCCATTGAATCGAGCTGGGAATAGATCATTTTTTTACTGAGCAGGCTACCTGTTGAATATCTTCATCATCTACCATTTCTCAGTTTGATAAGCTACTACAGGAGTTAGAAATTAATTGAAATCAAACACTTTCCTTAAGAAAAGAAAGAAGAAAATCAGGAAGAAAGTCTTGTTGACCAACATATGTTTATTTTTTAAACAATTTACAAATGTCATATTTATCCAAGCAAACACATTTAATACTTTAGTCTTTAACAAGCTATACAAATGAGAACCATCACACTAGAGCTTTTGATAGCTCAAGGACCATTCAGGGTAGGCATGCATGTGTCTCTATCACATGAAGCGAGTCCAATTCCTGACACCAGGGTTCTGGTCTTCTGCTTCTTCAGAGCTGGTCAGCTGCTAAATGATTTAACACAAACAGTTACTGGATCACAATACAATGAAAGAAAGCCCATTTCAAATCATGTAAGTGACCTCAGTATGTCTGGTCCAGGTGTCAGGCCACAGAGCCTTACCGATTAGTCTTCTTCTCCAAAAGCCAGTCGGACAGATTTTCTCCCCTTGCTTTAGTGCTGTGGCATCCATACATGTGCTTATACAATACAATGAAGCAGCTTAAGTACAGATGTAATACGACAGTAATTACAAATCACAGACAGATAAACAAACAAAACCAACTCTAATCACATTCTTGCATTTCAAACAATGAAAGTAAACAAAATCATGCATTACAGCTTAAAGAAATTTTCAGGTTTAGCTCTTCTGCAAGTCTCCATTTCCTCAAGTTCTAAATTGCTGTTCTTGAGCTTGTCCCAGTGGCTGGGCTACTCAGTGCTATTGACACAAACAGGGTGAGCTGGGAATTATCCAAAAACGGTCAAAGAATAAAAGCCCCCAAAATAAACAACAAAGACGCACGCATTATAAACGACAGATTCCATTTTAATAGCATAGTGTAGAAAAGAAATTGGCAAAAAAATTCACATGAAAAAACATTTTACACAATTAATTATGTACAGAATAAAGTATGTGTCTGGTTTCCAATGATGCAAATTTCCCTTTAGTCAAGTCCTACCACAGGATGCAAAATACACCCAAAACCTTCAACTGGAACAAAAAACAAAAAACAAAAAAACCAAACAAAAAACATATACATAATCCCAGCTCTGGTTCCTCAAATATTGGGACTGGCTGGGTTCACTTCAACCCACTGGGCTTTCTGCTAAGCTTTCAGCTAAGCTTTCAGAGACTCCTGACTTTGTTGTAGCTTCCAAACTACTGTCAGCAGTTTCTGTTTGCTCAGTCTTCTTGCTCAGAATGGTGCATGCTCCCTTGCCTCCTGAGCCACCCTCCTTCCCAGGTATTTCTTTGAGCCCAGGAAGGAAAGTTTCCGTGCAGCCAGAAGCCTGACTTTCTGCACTGCCCCCATCACAGCTCAGTGATGGCATTTCAATAGGACCACCTCTGCTCTCCTCCACATGCAGAAGGATCTCAGATGTGGGAGAAATGCCCTGCATTTCTAGAACTGGCATGACCACTTCTGTAGTGTCACTATTTGAGGACTGCAGTCCAAGCTGCAGCATAACTGGTTGAGAAATCCGTGTGCAAAATTTATCTTCCCGACTAGCAGAACTCAGTGTAGCAAAATCAGTTATCTCTGTTTCACCCACTGTTTTTTCATTGCCTAGCTTCTTAAGTTCACTGGACTCCAGCCTAATGGATGCAGTATTTTCTAGTTTTGAGACTTCTTTGATATTCTCATTTAAAAGTCCTGTTGTAAGGATGCTGAAGCATTCATATTTTACCTTAGTATCTCCCAAACTGTAATCAGCACTTTTGAGCTTGAGCTCTGCCTTCTGGGACGGAGCCTCATTGTTTTTCACATCTTCTGATGTCAAAGAAACTTTCTTGCTATCCACATGAACATTTGCAGAGAGACTTCCAGATTGCTCAGTGTTCAATCCTGAGTAAGTGGAATTTGGATGAAAGTCATTGGCTGCTGAGG